TGTTAGAAGGCGTATCATGATCACGCCAAAAAAGGAAAATGCGCCGTTGTGCTGTTGTAAGCAAATTATTGTAAACAAAAGATTATGCTGCATCATCCGACGTTTGAATGGTCTTGAAAGTACCTGAAGTGAATTTGTTACCATAAAATTAGTACAGGCTTTGAACTGCCACTATCATGTTAAAGAAGAGAATGAAAACTATAATTAGTGGAGGAAATTGTTTAGGACTTAGTAATTTTACGAAGCGCGCGCAGTCCGTTTAAAGAAAGGATTCTAAATTTAGGTATTATTACATACAATTTTTAAGTACAACCTTCACAACTTTTTCTTTATTTTCTTTAAAGCCTTATCTAGAGAATAGTTAGGGATAATGGGTCCACATCAGCGCTAAGCTGCCTCTTTTATTGACCTGCTTTATTAATTGTTTGTATATGTATGTATATTTCATAGCAGCAAACGAATCATACTTTGTTCCACAGAGCTGTCATTTATTTGACTCACTTCATTAATTTCACTGCTGGTACCTTCTAAATTTTTTTCTCTGGACCTGAAGGATATTCTATATCAGTATTTTAAGTTTAATTTCAGTTATCACTTGTTATTCCTTGACTGTTTCATTATATTGCATCATCAACATTTTAAGTATTATAAACAAAGTAAGGAAATGCCTCGAACAATATTGCATCATTCTTGTTGACGTCACCTATTCTAGTTGGTCTGTCTTGAAATGTGTAAACACTGAAATGTGCTTGAAAGTTAATGTAAAGGAAGTGTTTTATAACTATAATAGTAGTTGTAGTTTTAATTTTGAGTTTAATTTTGTTTTGAAGGTTTTTGGAACATTGCTTGCTGCTGGCTTACTTTTCCAAACAGCATCTGCAAAGGTATATTTTTACATGAGACTGTTGCTCTCAGTAATAAATACCAGATAATTTAAGCTAATTAAGAAACCTTAGTTTTTAATTTGATTAACTTCAAACTAGTTTCTAATATACATTGAACTGAAAAATATCCAAATTCTATTAGGAGATTAAGTTATTTACATAGTGATGATATTGAGTGGTGTTATATACATTACCTTCTGCAGGAGGAGTGTTTCAATCTGTGAAAGTGGTTACATTTCGGGAAAGAGGACATTTAATCTATAAATATAAAGCCAATCCAAGAGATTTTAAAACTTTAAAAAGATATAATTCCATATAAATTGAATATTTCACATTATTTTGAAAAATGACACAGATACCTTTTAATTAAAGCCTTTATGCCCTAACATTAATGATCCTATTTCCACCCTGCTATTCCAACATTTCCTATGGCACTGCAAAGGCGAAATTGTTTCACAATCATGAGCTTTTTGAATTGGTGATCATTTGCTAGTATTTTTATTAACTGGCTTTGTGTTTGTGTCCAGGGTGATACTGTCAAGAGAAATTAACCAGGAGATAGGCACTTAGGGTGTAAAGTGTTGAGCTCATTCTATAACCAGGACGTGAATTAGATGTCTGTAAAAAGTTAATTTCATTTGTGAGGAAATGCATTCTGATTAGTTAAGATACACTATTATTCATAAGAGCACAAGCTACCTTCATTTGATCATACGGGAAGATTAATTTAGAAGCACTTATATCACAGATGATGATCAAATAATAATATAATTGTATGATAATGATGTAGATGATGATAACATGTTATTATATAATTAAGATCAATGAAATACCAGGTGAGGTAAATTTGCGCTAAAATGTGACATCTTAATTTACCCATGAAAATAACACCATCACTATGATCATAATGTAATAACAAAATGAATGGAAAAATGGAGGAGGAGGAATGTATGCCCTCAAAGACCTCTTGAGTTATTCCCATGAATTTTTTCACTTCTTTGAACTATCTTATTGAAGCACAGATAATTTTTGCCTCTTTAAAGTTGCTACATCCTTGCAAGAAAAACCAACACTGGGTTGATGGCACACCAGAATGTATCAATTGTCAAACTTGCCCTCCCGGTCAAACTGTTTCACCAGAATGTGGAAATTCAAAACCATTACCATTTAATACAATGGGACGCTGTGTTCCGTGCCAATTGGGAAAGTCATTTTCCAATGAACATAGCACATCCGTCTGCACTCCATGTTCATCTTGTGCTAAGGACCAGGTGGTGATAAAACAGTGCTCTCGTCAGGCAGACATCAAATGTGGAAAAAAATGTTACAGCAAACACAGGTAGGTGTTGTACATCAAGTGGCTGTGGGAAGGGGGGTGCTCAATTTGGGGGTTGGGGGATACTGTAGTTTCTCAGTTATAAGGCGCTCGTTTTTTTCAAGAAAATTCTGTCTTCAGGTGGAAAATTAGTGCTTAAATTGGGATGTGTCTTAAAGCCAAGTATTTTTGCACAACAAAATCTTAAGATAACACTATTCCAATTGCAGAGTATTTTTCCATTGGGCAGGTTTGATACTGTTTTTGTAAAACTATCTAAACCTGGCAGAAATTAATTGACCCTAATTTTAGCTGGGTTTTAATGCTTCCTTAAATCATTGCAACAAGGGGAGCAGGGATGATGCAGGAATGGTGTAGTGGTTTTTTTTCGAGGTCGTCTGGTTTTGTCTGGCTCCTCCAGTTTTCCTCCCACCCAAAAAACCAACATGTCAAATTCCAATTTGGCCTGAAAAACAGTGCATGGACAAGAAGATCAGCCACCGTGTGGATTGTCCATTGCAATATCCCCATTTATTTGAAATGTTTGGCAAAAATTGTAGACAAATCCATGATTCTAGTTAATTTTTTTGTTATTGAAAAGATAATGAGAATGTCATTGATTTTTATAGTATTGAAACATTCGGATGCCATAAATCAGTGAAAAAATTAATGGGTTAGCATTAATTTTACATTGTTTGTTAGCCTAGAAAGATAAATAGTTTTTCCTTTCTTTCACTTCAAACAGGTATTATGATAAATCCAAAGGTGATTGCCTGAAATGTTCCAGATGCTGCAATGATGATCAAGATGTGGTGGAGCCTGAATGTGAAGAAAAGTTGGGTTCTCAATCAAGTATGACCTGCTCTTTCCACACCAGTATTAACAGATGTGATATTAAATCAACCCTAAATGTATATCAGTCGACCACTGAATCAAGTCAGAGTTCAGCTCCTACTACATCCAGTCACACTGTCATTACTAGTACCAGAGCTAGTGAGGGTCATATATTGGAAAGTACCCAGGGTAGCAGGGTTGACAGTCAGTTTGCTTCTAAAAGCAAGGATCACAGTGACTCGCGTATACCAATTATTGCAGTCATCTCTGTGGTGCTACTGGGTCTGGTAGTTTTGGTTCGAATCTACATGATATGGTTTCGCAAGTCACAACCAATGCATACAAGTCATACTGGTAAATCTCTGTCACATACCTTGGGTGTGATTCACTCTGAGAGACCGACTAAATGGATTGGAGATTTAGGTATGATTCTGTTATACTGAAATTGTTAACACTATAACTATTGTTGTGTATTTTTGTATTTTATGCTTTCCTTATGACAAAATAAATCTTGCACAGTTTAAGAAAAGTCTTGTCTGTGCAAGTATCCACTTAGTAGTCGTGTATATACCCTGGGGATTTTTTAATGCATGTAGTTAATGGAGGTTAAAGAACCTGATACATAACATATAAAGTCTTAATTTTTTTTGGCTCTCTTCCAACAGATGGGGGAACATACCAAAAGAAAAGAACTGAGGTTCATTACAATTCTGGATCAGCAGAAGTCAAATTATACAAACCACTGATAGAGGTACTAAATTTAAGAGATAGCGAGGCAGACTTACTTTTTGATTAACTTGAAATTATTTGATTATTAAGTTTCTGCTCCAGTAGGACGTTTAAAAGACTATGGAAATATCTCCCATTTGAAACAAAAACGTTCTTAAGTTGCCTGTAACATTTTGTAAAATAAAAATGTGGCTGTGTCAATCCATTATTATCCATATAATGGTTGTACTAGTCAGGTCTACAGTAAAGAATTAGGTAACTATATATAAATAAAAGAAACACAAGTGAAATAATGCTCTTGCTGTATAAGCTTTAAGGTGCAATAAATAAAAAAAAAATTATATAAAGTCAAAGAGGAGCCAAGCAAATTATATCATGATATAACTTGGATATATTAACAAAGTTGAAGTGGTAAATTGGCCACCGTAACGATTACAAAAGCTGACGTTTTGAACGTTAGCCTTTCGTCGGAGCGAAGGGCTCCAATGAAAGGCTAACGCTCGAAACATCAGCTTTTATAATCGTTACAGTGACCAATTTACCACATCAACTTTGTTGATATAACCAAGTTATTTCGTTACTCCCACTGATGCAGCCCCAAACAGTTTCTTTCGAAACTATCAGCCTTTATTCAAATTATATCATGAGCCTGTCTGACCCATTTATCAATTTTATTTCGGAATTCCACTTTTTTCTCTGGTGTTGTCTGGATGCCTGTTATTCGAGACTCCTAATTAGGGAGCATGGCCATATTTTTTGCTTCAAAACAATATTTTTTTTACAGGTCTCAAGGGTATAGCTATATATACTCACTGTGACTGTCTCGTACATCATTTATCTACATGCGAGCTAGTAAGAATATATGCATGATTATGGTTTAACATTGTAGAATAATGGAGAGATGTGTACAAGCGGCCCTCGCCAAAATGCAGAACAGCTAGTGAAGTCAGGTAACTATTATGCCTGTCATGCCTACAATGGACCTGAATTCTTCTCTGATTACATTTGAAAACCGCCGAATAAATAGAATTATAAGCAGATAACCTCTGACACATGTGAAGGTTGGAATTTTGAGGATTTAATTATTTTGAATTCAGAGGAAAATTAGATATAAGACAATTTTGCAGAAATTAAGGGCTGAGAGAGTTTGTATGAGGGCTCCATCCCATTTGGAAGCCTCAAGTAATTACCCAACAAGAATTTGATGCTACAATGTAATAACAAAATTCCAGTGAGAGTTAATAAATTAATAAATTAATAAATTAATAAATAAATTAATTAATTAATTAATAAATTCTTATAAAATATTTTGTTCTGTTCAATCTGTGTTTCAGATTCCAAGCCCCTAGAAAGCTTATTGAACTCAAGTGAACTGGACAAAATCTGCGAACTTTTAGACATGCCCATTGGTGAAAAACTTTGCTATGAGGTAGTTGCTCGTTTTTATGGTGCTAGTTACAGCAAAATAAAAGTGGGGTTTCAGAAAGGAAAATCAGAAGCAGTAATTGCATGGTTGGTGTGTGAAAGGCCAGAACTGACTGTTGGGGAGTTTACTAGGGTGGTAAGGGATAAAGCAAATAGAAATGATGTTGCCCTTCTGTTAGAAGCATTTGATGCAAAGGCCACTGAAGAATCAACTGACATGTGAAATATATTATTTAGTTTCTATTTGACATCACCTCACGGATTAGAGTTGATCACCATACTTTCTTTAATTTTTATTGGCCTTGGGATTAATTTGAAAATGCCCTTGTGATAGACTGTAGTGATTGTACAAACATACACCACATTCTAAGCATATGTTTGATAAAAATGTTAGAGTGCTGGTTCTATTCCCCAGCACCCCTTCATATGAGCCTGCTCACCATTCTTCATTTAATGTGATGTGGTTGTTTTAAGTTTTCCTCCATTAACTGGGGTTTGGTTGTTGATAATGAGGTAATTATCATTCATAGTTTTGAATGAGCATTTCCACCTGGTGATGCAGATGAAACTATTCCATATTAGCTGAATCAGTTATCTTTGTTCAATGAAGTAATTTTTGTAAAGATTTCTAATCTTTTTTTCTGATCTTAAGAAGAAAATATTTTGTTTTTTCCATTTTTTATACTTAAAACATTTTATTTTTTTAAGTTTTTTCTCACTGATATTAACAAGTAAATCAATTTTGTTCTATTTTTTGTTAAAATTATGATCTGATCAGTTTCTGTTTTTTCTTTAATCGAAATGTTACTTTACGTATCGTGGACGTTAAACACCATTTGCAGTCACTGCTTTAATTAAAGATTGTATCTGTTATGCAGGCTTAAGTACATTCTGTACATTTATTAAATGTTTATTTTGTCAAGTTTATAAAAGTTCCCTATCCTATGGACTGTTTATGGAAAGGAACATTAGCCTATTTCTTACTTTTTTCTATCCAATCTTTGATTGGACTCTGTAAGGGTTTTTGAAGTTCTCAAAAAAAAAGGATGAGGAAACATCGTAGCCACATTCAATCTGTTTTAACTTTGAAGTTTTAAATCTTTCTGTAAGGTGACGAACGCCAAATATTTTTGGTATTGTTTCAGAATGTGTTAATATGTAGGTAATCCTTTTTCAATTTTTGTCAATTTTACTACCTGCAAGATAATTTCAACATTCCTTTTTAATTGTCAGACGTTACATGAGTTCAATTTTTGATTCTCATTCATCCATTAATTGTATGCATTTGAACATAATTTCATTAGATCTTTAATAGCGATTCTCAAACGCTGCTTACACTACCTGTAGAAATGAGTGGATGAAGACCCGAGCCAGTCTATTATATTTCCTTTTAATTTAATCACCTAGGCCGGATTGTTCAAAGCTGGTTTAAGATATTACCCAAGATTGGTGTAAATTTGATTTCAGGTGAAATTCACGGTAACTCTTTTTAGGTACAATTTGCTAACTGGGTACTTTAAAAAGATTAAGGAAAATTATCCAAAAGAGGCTTTTGATCGGAGAAACAAGGAAACCTGGATTTAAATTTTACCCTGTGTGAAGGCTAATCGGCTTTGAACAACTGGACCCTAATGTCAGCTAACTTGGCACATTTGCCACAATTAATGATGGTGTATGTATCATATACCGTGTAAATAAAATCTTCTTTTATGAATTCTTGCTGGCTACCTTTGCACTGGTGAAACTATAAGACAACACACTAGCTTTTTCATTGCATGGCTCTGTTTGTCTACTTTCAATCTCAATCGAGCACTTAGCATCATCTTTGTCTCCTTTATCATCACCCTTTCATCATTATCATTGTAGACAGAATCAAATGACAAATTGTTAAGTCAACTCTGTGGCTCATTCTCTGTAGCAATGAGTACGAAGGAGGACATGCAGTTATGCCGTAGGTTTTTAGATAGAGGCATGGACATCAGCCCAGGGATATAGGCACAAATGTAAGACTGCAAGCCAGCAGTGTGCAGCACCTACTTACCTTAGTTCATACTTTAATTCGTTCTGATAGTCTTGGAATGATATCCTGTCATTTGTAGGTCAAAGGTATTTCCTAGAGGAGCACAAAAAAACTAGAGTGCCTTGTTGAGGGTATCACTCCATTCAATCTTGCACCGTAATAAATCACATATGACGCCCTCCCTTAAAAGCATTTTTACTTACCCTTTGGTTTAGGAAAGTACGACACAAAGCCAAAACTTTTGATACTAGCTGTCACCTTATTGACCTCTCAGAGACAGCAAGATAAACAGTGGTAAGAATGAATCAAATATTATTTTAAACATTTAATGCAACGCACGCAATCTTCCTCTTTAATAGAACGGCAAATGTAAGATTATACAGGAACTTGAAGCATTAAGTAATGCATATATAGTTCTTTGCATAGTTCACAACTGCTATACATATCTATAGATGTACATACAAATTTGCTTACAAGCTGGTATTTATACAGATAGATGAACCTTTAAATTTGCTTACGAGCTGCAAATGACATTTCGCCACTTGTTATTAACATTTCTACTGCCAGATTTATAACCGATGTCTGTCATTTAAATGTTTGTCAATAAAATGTTTAGTGAAGGTGTAGTCTGATCGTCCGGGTGAGTGTCGTCCTGAGAAGGACTGTTGTCGGTGGTAGTGATTGACGTTTCGACAACCTTTGCGGAAGTCATCATCAGAGTCAAGTGAATGATTGTTGTCAGTAGAATGTTCTTATTCCAGTTCTTGTGAAATGATCGGTTGGTTTTGCCGTGATGTTATTGGCTGTAAGACTCAAGTGACGTAAGTCGGTCGTGATTGGTCTGTTTCGATCTGTCGGTAAAGTTAGGTCGTTCTTTTTCGGTCGTTTGTGATGTTTATGTCGTGAATGAGTCGTTTGTATGGGGCGGGTAGTTGTTGACATCTGTTTAGGGGAGTCTGTTCTAAGTTAGTAAACCAGCTTTCCAGAGTCAGTCGTTGAAAATAGTCAGTGCTGTAGGTTAGGCATTGCGCAGAGTCCCAGTCAATGTTGTGGTTGGTAAGTCGATGGTGTTCAGCAATGTGATTGCTGACATCACCTTTCCTCGTCGCCCGTCTGTGTTCAGTCAGTCTTGTTGTGAGGTTTCTGCCAGTCTCACCGATGTAGGAGGCTTGGCAGTCGGAACAATTGATCTTATAAATCGTTCCCTGTCTGTTCCTCGGTTCGTCTTTGTCTTTAACGTTGGTTAGTAACTGACGTAGTGTGGTGATGGGTTTGTGGGCGACGCGGATATTGAAGGGTAGTAAGATGCGCGAGATGTTTTCAGACATGCCTTTTATGTACGGTATGGTTGCTGTAGTCGTAGGGGTTGCGGTGTCGTTTGTTTCGGTAGTGGTAGTGGGTCGGTGAGTGTTTCGTCGGATGAAGTCGTTGTTGTAGTTGTTCTTCGTAAAAACACGGTGAAGGTATTTGTTCTCGTCGGATAAGCTGTCTGTCGAGTCNCATGCAGTAAATGGTTTGAACCCGGGGGTAACATGTGAAGGTGTAGTCTGATCGTCCGGGTGAGTGTAGTCCTGAGAAGGACTGTTGTCGGTGGTAGTGACTGACGTTTCGACAACCTGTGCGGAAGTCATCATCAGAGTCAAGTGAATGATTGTTGTCAGTAGAATGTTCTTATTCCAGTTCGTGTGAAATGATCGGTTGGTTTTGCCGTGATGTTATTGGCTGTAAGACTCAAGTGACGTAAGTCGGTCGTGATTGGTCTGTTTCGATCTGTCGGTAAAGTTAGGTCGTTCTTTTTCGGTCGTTTGTGATGTTTATGTCGTGAATGAGTCGTTTGTATGGGGCGGGTAGTTGTTGACATCTGTTTAGGGGAGTCTGTTCTAAGTTAGTAAACCAGCTTTCCAGAGTCAGTCGTTGAAAATAGTCAGTGCTGTAGGTTAGGCATTGCGCAGAGTCCCAGTCAATGTTGTGGTTGGTAAGTCGATGGTGTTCAGCAATGTGATTGCTGACATCACCTTTCCTCGTCGCCCGTCTGTGTTCAGTCAGTCTTGTTGTGAGGTTTCTGCCAGTCTCACCGATGTAGGAGGCTTGGCAGTCGGAACAATTGATCTTATAAATCGTTCCCTGTCTGTTCCTCGGTTCGTCTTTGTCTTTAACGTTGGTTAGTAACTGACGTAGTGTGGTGAAACCTCACGACAAGACTGACTGAACACAGACGGGCGACGAGGAAAGGTGATGTTCAAAGCAGTTTACTTTCATAACCAAATGTTATAAAATTACTTATGGCTTTCTTAGAAAAATTGGTTCTTTAGAGCTGTTTTGCTATCTTTTTGTTGCTGTCAGAAGCTGTTCATTAAATGAGACTCACCCAAAAGGCGATGGAAAAGTGCAGGGAGCACTGTGTCTCTGCATCGATGGCCAAGGTGATTTTTCCTTGTTCTTGACAAGGGTCTCCAACATACTGGACTCGGAAATGGGACTTGGCTCCTGGTGCTACTCGGTTGTTGCTTTCACATTCAGTGTGGGCAACTCTGAAAACCTGAAGTACTAGAAATTGATCAATTTGTAATCCTTGAAAAGCACGGTTTAAAGAGAAGTCGAATCCCCTATTTGTTCGACTTATTGACAAGAAAGCGCAAGAAAACAAAGCACAAAAGTTAGTGTCTACTTTTATTTCTAAAGACATAGGGTGTGTCCAACAAGATCTGGACACCTATATAAACTGCTTGTTTGGATTAAAGGTTTTAAAATATAAAATTATGAAACATTTCACACTATCATCTGGTGTAAAGATTTTGCTTTTTGTATTTTAAATGTACTTGTACTTACAAATTCTCGGCCTCTTACATCCACAGGAGTGACAAAGTTTTCTCATTGTTGATCCTCGAAATTCGGATTTGCTCGCGAACAAATACAGTGTGAAAATGTTGGCCTCTTCCATTGTTCACGCAAGATGAAATTTGTCTTGTTGAGTAAGCCTGCCTGGTGCCCTCATCAATGTAACTCTTACGAAGTGTGTCGTACACCTGTACGGAAAAAAATTAACATGTCAAGAACTATTTAACTTTTAAAACTTGCAATTAAGAAGAAATATAAACTACACTCACCTGCCACTCTTTCTCAGGGATTATATAAAGTATAAACAACTTCTCTTTCCTCTCTTGGTGGGTTCTTCCAAAAAGGAAGAACACCACTGTTAATCCAGGCGACGGATGCTGCACAAAATGGTGACACACATCTGTGACGGAGATGAAATGAAAATAAATGTGTTGATAACGCAGATGCAAATTTGTCTAGTTGTTACGCAGTTTAGTCCGTAAAATTATATATACCTATTGTAAGAGTTTCTTGCAACTGGCAAAACTTATCTCTTATTAAATTTTATGTTTACGTCGCATAGTGTTGAAATGGAAGGTAAAGCAGGTTTTAAGTTGGAGACTACTTTGGTTAGAGCAGGATTCGGTAACTTGCCGACATGTGCTGAATTGTATGGGCTTTGAATGGGTTTTCATTCGATCACTAATTTCACGAGTTGACATAAATATAAAAATATAAATTTCAATTTACACTCACCACCTCTGAACACGAGAGCTCAAAGTTATCGAACTTACTTATTACAGGGATTTTCTCTAGCTAAGATTCAGATGGCACTATCGTTAAAGATGCTGCTTTTGTCGAAGTGCTGGAGATTTCGTCTTCTAAGGACACTCTTGGAAGTGAAGACAAATGTTCACTGTATGACTGAGGGACAACGCTTAATAAGGTTTTTACCGTTCCAGTTGGATTTACGTCGGATGTGTTAAGTATGTGGTAGAGCGATAACTCGAAACCGCGCTCAGCAAGGAAAAGCCTACAGGACACTTCAGTTGCTGCGTTGAGCGTTAAAGTAGGTTCCCTTCAAAACTACAGCAACAAAATTCACTTTTTGCTCTTGATCGTTCCAGAAGGTCATTCCTAAGTGCTGTCCTGACTAAGTTTTCTTCCAAGTCGGAGTCGCTGTCAGATTTACTCTGCACATCATTCCCTACGGCAAGGAGTTCCTCGTTATTTTCGCTCTCTAGAGACCTATCTCTGTTTCCGTCGTTCTACAAATAAAATGAACATTGTTGTTGTAGTCTTCGGTAAAACAGTGTTCTATATTTAAATGGAGAGCTATCGAAAACAAAAAGATTTAAAGTGATTGATGTGATTAATATAACTGTTTCGAAAGTGAAGCAGAGAAAAGCGGCCAAAGTATACCAATAAATTGTAAGGGGAGAGGGAACATAGCTACCAGTGCTTAGAATTTACCATGTTGTCTTTGTTTTTATCTTCTGCTGCTATTGCTTCTGTATCTTCCAAGACCTCAATTTAATCTGGTAACCAGAAATAGAATGATCCTTCGAAAGACGAAAGCTAACCTCTGTTCTCGTGACCTACTCTTCGTCCCTTTGATTGGTTGTCGTCTACCGGGGAATCCGGGGAATCCCCCTTGTCGGATAGATCTCTAAAATAAGTTTTCTCAGTAACGTTTTATTCATGAAAACAGGTTTCACTTTGGAAAAGTAAGATACAAAGGGTACTACTCTATTTCTTCAACTTTCAGAATTAGATTGAACCAAATACCGAAGGACACCAGTAAGATTTGTTGCGTACTTTTCCGCAACGATATCATACATTCTGATCTTATACAAGATATAGACGAGTATACCCTAATCACGTTACTGTTGCGGCCAGTATTGTAGCAAATTTAGACTTTGGCTTTGCAAAGAGTTTCTTTGTGATCGGTGTTGTGTGCCTACTGGTAAGTCGCCTTATATCGGTTGAAATTTGAAAATTTGATGCTTGATGGTAAATTCGATATAAATCCGATGCCGTTTCAATGGTTTTCATGATACTCGAAGTATCTAAAAAGTACTTCCTGTTATGGATTTTGAACGACTCAAGATGAGCCTAACAAAATGCAACTTCCAACCCTTTTCTGCTATCAAATTTCCGCGCATTAGAGATTCGTCGCTCTCGTTACGTCCAAGTAATATGCGGATGTTTCATATTTCACCGGCATAATCAAGGTTTAGTCAGCTGCACAACCTTTGTTTTTCAGTAAGAGTCACATCACATAGTTTCATGTTTTAACCTGAAACTTATTACAACATGCATCCATTTTTCTTTTTAACACGTGCACCTCTGTCCATCTTCGACTTAATCACGTTTCAAACTTCCACCCACGTTATATGTTATTTCTCGAGTGAAGCCATGAGTAAATTTGTAACTTGAAACCTCCGAGATTTATCTTAAATGTTACTATAGAAAATATTTAATTTCATATCTATTTTTTATCTACTTTCAGTTCAGTGTTTGGTGTGTACCTTTTTTAATATGAGGGAGAGTGCATTTACGTCAGGGTGATCGTAATTTTCAATTTTTACAGTTCACTCGTGCATTAGTTTCAAAACAGAATAACGCAACACTCGCGGCTAGTTTTATTATTAAATTTATACTAAGCGAAATGTGTACCAATGGACTGTGCAGAGTGTTCTTTACGTTTTGCATTTTCTGGTGAAAATATAGAGTAATAATTTAAGTAGGTGGAAGTGTCATCGATTAGTAGGAGGGCTAGATCGAGTCTTGAAAATAGCTAATGGGTTTGCCCCTCACCAGTTTGGTTCATAACCATCTCCTGCTGCGTTTTTTAAATCATTTTTTTTTCTAATTTTCATGGTTTCATACACCAGCCCTTGTCATGCTGAGAGTCAATATAAATCCTTTCTATTGAGATCAAATTTATATTTTCAGAGTGAAAAAACCTGAGCAGCATTTATGTCTTCCTTAGCACATAGACTATTTTGATTTTGACCTCTTTTATTATTTTATGACTTTTCAATCTCTTCTATAGGCTAGGTCCGGTGTCTTACTTTGTCAAGAAGACCATATGGAGATAGCCTGTCCCTGGTTGCTAACAGCATTACAACTCAAGCATTTAGCCTAGGACTGAGCCTTCTGATTCTTTATTTGTCTACAGTATTTTTTCATCTGACAGCAGTTTGGCTGACAGAAACCAGTCAGTGAACCGTTGTGGACCTAAACCCAAACAAATAACACTAAATGCACGGTCTGGTGAGTGACAAAAAGACAGCAAGATATTTTTTCAACGTACCCCTTTATTCTGACTTGATAATTAAGTTTAATTTTTTAATATCATTTTTGGATTTTGAAATTAAATATTTTTTATAGTAACATTAAGATAAATCTCGGAGGTTTCAAGTTACAAAGTTACTCATAACTTCACTGGAGAAATAATAAAAATGTGGGTGGAAGTTTGAAACGTGATTAAGTCGAAGATGGACAGAGGTGCACGTGTTAAAAAGAAAAATGGATGCATGTTGTAATAAGTTTCAGGTTAAAACATGAAACTATGTGATGTGACTCTTACTGAAAAACAAAGGTTGTGCAGCTGACTAAACCTTGATTATGCCGGTGAAAGATGAAACATCCGCATATTACTTGGACGTAACGAGAGCGACGAATGTCTAATGCACGGAAATTTGATAGCGGGAAAGGGTTGGCAGTTGAATTTTGTTAGGCTCATCTAGAGTTGTTCAAAATCCAAAAAATCCAAAAAGTTTAATTTTTTAATATTATTTTTTTATTCTATTAGCCTGAAATACCTAGCTAGTGACGTGTTTTCTGAATATCCAGTGCAACGAAGTGCTTCTCGTATAGTATTTCAGAAGACTGGGGTGGAAGTGGCGGAAGTGAAGGTGCTAATGGGTTGACATTCATCGATAAATGGATGCCGAGAAATTTGATGTTGCAAGGTTGCACTGAAGCGGTGCTGCCTGACCATCTGCAGGAGGATGAATCGCCTGTAAGCCCAGTATATGAATTTGTTTCAAGTACTGTGAAATTGAACAGACTACTGGAAGTTTGGATACCTCATGGTGCTGATGATGATATATTTTAACTCAGCTCGATTTTAGAAGGTATATAGGTTAAATTTACATAGCAACTAAACACAGTTCAGCAAAGTAAAAAAAGGAGAAAAAGATCTAGCAATAAAGTAGGTAGCGAGTAAGCAAAGCTAAGAATGAATTTTTTTATATAATAAAAAAAGAAAAAAAGTATTACTTTATGCACTAAAGTAGATAATTAAAAAGAGTAACAATTAAGTATAGAGTTCTTTAGGGCTTTACGAAATATTCTAAGAGAATTTGAATTAGTTATACTTATAGGTAATGAATTCCAAAGGCGAGGGCCAGTGAAATTTAGGGACCGTAGGCCATATTGAGTAGTATTAGGTGAGGCTCCATAAAGATTTCTGTTACATGATTGTCTCGTTGAATAGGAATGAACAGAGGATGTAAATTTGAAACATTCACTTAAACAAGGGGGTAACAGTCTATGTGACCACTGATAAACAAAGGAAAGAATCTGTAATTCAATAACTTCGTTGAGCTTAAGAAGATTGAGGGATTTAAACAGAGGCTCAGAATGGGATATTGGTCCAGAGGAAGATATTATTCTGATTGCTTTTTTTTGAATAATAAATAATTTTGTTAGAAATGAGGGAAAGGTTAAACCCCAGACATGGACGCCATAAGTGAGGAATGGATAGATAAGGGAGTAATAAAGCATGATAAGAATATCTTTGTTGACAAACTGTCTCATTTTAGACAAGATAGCTTCAAGCAAAGCTCATTAATATGAGTTTTCCATGTTAAGGTAGAATCAAATGTATGCCTACTTAGGTACTTAGTGGAGTCAACTTGTTTAACAGGTACATTATCAATTTTCTTAATGACTGATTAGGTTTAAGTTTTCTGGAATGAAAAAGAATGAAGTTAGTTTTAGAAATACTAAGTGCTAATCGATTACATTTCATTCATTCAGCAACAGATTTTAATTCAAGATTTAGGGTTGTTTCAAGGTGACTAAGATTTTTGCTAGAAAAATAAATGTTTTTAGTATCATCAGCAAATAGATGAAATGTTAGTAAGTTAGAAGTATTGGGCAAATCGTTTAATATAATAAGAATAAAAGGGGTCCTAAAATAGATCCTTGTGGGACACCACAGGTCACATGCAATGAAGGTGAGTTATGACCATTAACATTTAGTAATTGTTCTCTTTGGAATAAGTAAGATTTAAACCAATCAAGCACAACACCTCTTATTCCATAGTGGTTAAGTTTAGTTAATAGGATTGTATGATTAACATTATCAAATGCTTTTTCAGGTCTATAAATAGACCACAACCAAATTCACTATCATCAATGGACTGCCGAATAGATTCAGTGATAGAAATAAGAGCATGGGTGGTCGAACATTTTTCTCTGAAACCAAACTGAAGTGGATAAAGTATCTTTAACTCTTCCAAATAACTGGAGAGGCGATAGTACATAGCTTTTTCAAATAATTTACTAAACTGAGTCAGAAAGAACAGAAATTGGTCTATAGCTGTCTATGTCAAATCTTGAGCCCTTCTTAAACACAGGAATAATCCTCGCTAATTTGAATTTCTCAGGAAAATTACCACTAACAAAGGAATCATTGACTAAAAATGCAAGAGGCTCGGATATATAGTCCCTCTGTAGTTTCAAAATAGTAACAAGTATACTGTATGGGCCAGAAGACTTACTGGCATCCATCTTACCCATAAAAGTCCAAATTTCATTCGAAGTGACAGGGAATAAAAGAGTGATCCTGAGTTATTAAGTTACCCCTTTAGTATCTTGTAGGGAACTTAAAGAGCACACGGAATCCGCATTGCAACACACCTTTATTCACTCGCACACTCCTTCTATATACATTACACAACCTCCTTCACGTGCTTCATGGTAATTAGATTACGTCATCACCGATACTATTACACAAACACTAAAACCCCTAAGGTAGAATAAGGGGCTATGACTTCCCTAAGAGATTCCCTTCTCTGTACTCTTACCAATATTAGCAAAGAAGTTGTTAAAGATGTTAGCAATGTCAGTAGGGTTATCAAGAGACTTACTGTTATTTAAAATAGAAGTTATATAACTGTTTTTACATTTACCAACATTTATAATTGACCTAATACCAGACCATAGCTCTTGCATGTTAGACTTATTTCAAGAAAAATATTAGTTAAAATATTTGGATTTACTATCTTTCAGATCTTTAACAACCCCATTTCTAAATTTTTTGTAGAGATAATGAATATTAGGATCTAGTTGTTTACTTTTAAGTAATTTGGAGTAAAGTTTGTCTCTATAATTCATTTTAGCAAGGATTTCTCTAGTGATCCAAGGTTTGCTCAATATTTTAACCTCCTTCCTGGAAGCCTCTTATAAGGTATATGCTTCTTACAAACAGAGTCGATTTGGTCATAGAGGAGGTCAAACTTGCCATTAGTGTTTAGATTACTATTGTAAATAGATGAGAAATCAATGTGAGATACTTCGAACATCAGCAAACATTTCCTCACTGAAATGGGAATAATCATGTTTGTAATAATTTAAGGAGGCATAATTAACTTTAAGGTCTCCAATGACCAGAAACTGCGGCAAATGATCAGAAATCTTAGTAACTAGGTTTCCACTAAGAGTATTAAAGTTGTACGTGTTAGCAAAAATTTTGTCAATTAAGGTGGCACTTCTATCAGTTACACGGGTCAGTTGGAGAATATAACAAGGCAATAAATAATTAGAGTTCATCATATTAAGAAAATTTTCAGAAGCAAGACGGTTTACACAATTTAGCAGGTTAATATTAAAATCACCTGGTATAAATATGTTCTTGTTTTCTCTTGCTAAGTTATGCAATACTGTCTCAATATGCTCAGTGAATCTATCAGGAGAGAACGAAGGGTGCTTATGGACACAACAGCACAAGATATTTTTTGATTCAATATTACTAATCTCAACCCAAACAGTTTCAAATTCCTCATCAGTTACACTAAGATCACGGTTCTTTTGACAGCATTCAATGACTTGCTGGTCTAAATAACAACACCACCTGCAGCTGTTCTAGATGGCTGTGAATGCAGATTATAGCCATGCAAGGCATTATTCATTTTGAATCCTCTAAAACATTTTCTCTTGTTTCACTGACTCCTATAACTTGGAAGGGGAAGCCTAATAAATCAAGAGTAGCATGTTAATCATCTAGATGAGCATCTAAACTGTTTAGGTTGACATGAAGTAAGGAGAAGTTGGACTTATTAGATGATAGAGTCATTTTTTTCAAAGTCGAGAAAATAATAATACTTAGAGTTTATGGGATTAGGTATGTTATTATCAATATCAAAATTGTCAAGGTAAGGTATACCAGAAATTGTAGACAATATATCAAGCGAAGGCAGAAATTCAAGATGAGATGGCATTCTTCAGTTCATAAGGCTGTACAGTTCATAAATATCAACTACGTAATATTGTTTTGATAGGCAAAAACTGGAGTTTAATTTTAAAGGAGTATATATGAAAACGACAGTGGGTTAACTGTTGGTGAACCTAATAAAAGTATCAAAATACAACAATCAAGGAACTTTGTTCGTAAAAGCAATCATGTGAGATTTAAGACTAACCATTTGTCAACTTTCAAATGAACTGGAAAGTTTGATACGTCTAAGTCGAATTTAGTATTTAAAATAATGAAATTTGTAGCATTCTGCAGTGAAACCAGAGTTGGAGAAGACCTTGTTGTGAGGCTTTACTGCTTTGATGATTGTGAATGGTCTTTTGAGGTATGTTTTCATTTCATATCATAATACGATAGTACGGAAAGGAAAACAGCCATACAAACTAGAATACTGGTTGAGGGGCCATGTATATAGTTTTGCTTCAAAACTTAATTTTTAACGTCTCAAGGTATAGTTATAGTTATAGTGACTGCCTCATACAACATCTACATGATATATGATTAACGGATTAAGGTGGCTCTGCACCCAAAAAATGTCTATGTTGTCAAATATATAAAATGATACCTTTTGCATGGCTGTTCTGTGAAATTAAGGGCAAGGAACATTAACCCATTTGTTCTTTTCTGTGCAATCTTCATTTGGTTTCTGCTCCCTGGCAGAATGAAGAAAGCTGGCAGCAATATTTTTTTCACTTAGAAGTTTTAAATATTTCTGTGTTTAGTTAGGCCATCTTGTCAATTGAAGAATGCCAAATGTTTGTGGTATTGTTTTAGAATGAGTATTTTAATCAAACGGTAATTCTAGATTAATTCAAACGTAGCGTGTTTTCAGTTGAACAGTTCATTTTAATTGTCAGACTTTGAATGAATTTTGTGTTTGATACTCACTCTTCTATAAATTGTGTGCATTTATACATTTATTCGATCTTTAATAGTCATTATTGTGCAACCTGTACCTGCAGAATTCACCAGGACCTAAAGTGTATCAGTTTCATTATTCCAAGTTAACTTGGTAAATTTGCCAAAATTACTAGAGGTGTATGCATCATGAAAATGTTGATAAAATGTTATTTTTAAATTTCTCTTTACTTAACTTTTCAATCTAAAACACTAGTAAAACTATTAAATATTGCACTTCTTTTGCCACTTAGAATAAGTTCTCCCTTCTAGCAAGCTAATCAGAACTAGATCATCTGCACGCTCCACAGTGGCCACTAAAAGACAAGCAAAAATGTCCTTAGTACACTCCAGCTGGAGATCAAGATTGAAAAAAAAAATTTCCAACTCCTCTCAACTTAAGGCCTATTTATTTATGATCTAAATGTATAAAGAGCCCCGAAATCGTTCACCACTTTGGGTCATTTCAGTTGTTTACAAGCACATCCTCTCCAGCAATAAGGAAATCAAACTCTTTCAATCACTAGCGTCAAAACCTATGTCGTCAATGTCAGCATCACTTGGCAAAAGAGCTCTCATACCCCATGTTCTTTTGTGCACTTTGGGAGCGGAAGTTATTTCGTGCGTGAAGTTCTCAACCAAACAAGAGTGCATTGGTCAAAACTGTTCTAGATCGACGTTTTATAACAATTAATCAAAACAAGGAAAGCAACACGAATGGTTCCACACATGGAAAATTATTTTCAGAAAGATCGCGCAATGAGGACTTGTGTTACAGAAAATTTGGTAGCTACATCACAGAGAGATAGGAATAATCACGTGATTTCTTAGAAAACAGTTCTACATTTAAAGACTGAGTTGTTTTGCAAAGATCATCGTTACGTACTTTAGGATTTCGTGAATTCAGTCGATGAGAAAGCACGATAAGGTCTTTACAACTTATTTGGTTACTGAAATGCGATACTGTCCTTCGACATTCGTCTTCTTAAAACTCTTCCTGCCACTGGGAGATGAAGATGGCGGCCTGTGGCTCCCGCTTAGTATCAGCTACGCCGAAACGCAGCAATTTTAAAGCGTAGTCGGCCAAGATCTTCAGACACTGCTATTTTTTGATTCTCAGGAAGTTGCCAGACCATATTTCTGGGCTCGCCTACCTGGAACTTACCATTTTCTCCCACCTTCTTGAATAACAGCTTGTAATAATTTCTTTGGGTTTGTCTGGTGGCCTTTCAGTGGTTACATCACAACTTGAATCTTGGATTCTCGAACCCGCTAATGTACCACAGATTATAGCGCTGTTTGGATGGATTATTGCACATTCCTGCTCGGCTAAGACGATCCCAGAAAAGAAATGCTGTGTGGTGGAATTACTG